AGTTATAAACATGTCATTGTTGTAATGACTCTTAATATGCCCTCAGCCACACCACACTGTTTCCATGTTAACCTCCTGCAAGAAAACATTTTTCTGTCCTGCTTCATACCGTCACACTGTGCCTCCCACCCTCTGCTGAAAACTGTGTGGTGTGAGTCAACATGGATTTTTAATATGAAAGGTGTGCAAATTCAGCGGAGGAAGTGTTAGCAGTCACGCCCTGCAGTTAGGTGTGCGTGTGTGTGTGTGTGTGTGTGTGTGTGTGTGTGTACATGCGTCACTGCGCAAGGACAAAGTTAATACTTAATGGTAGACACACATCTGTATGGTGATCAATAAGTCTGACTTGGAGTAAATCATCATAACTGTAGTCACAGATGAATTCAACATAGAAGTATGGGTCAGTGTTTGAGTAACTGGTGCAGGTGTGTGCTTGTGACTGGCTGTGTGTGTTCATGCTGACATTTAGGCTTGTGTGCATGTTGGTGTGTTGTAGCCTGAGGCCTTCATTAGTCCACGGATTCAATACCAGTAACCTTATTAGCATCAAGGTCAAAATGGATGGAGAGGTAGGAAGTCAGGGTGGCGGTCAGGTAGCAGCTGAACCATTTTATGCCATGCTGTATTTCTACTCATCTACTTTTCATAAGAAAAAAGATTGTGCAGCAATACTGGTAAAAGAGTTCGGTATAAACAGCAAGGTGAATAAGAAAGCCTTTAGCTTTGTTTTAAAAAGTGCCTGGTCTTTTCATAAATCTACATCTGACAGCTGTAATTACAAATTAATTTCAAATGAAGATGGTTCTTGGAAACTTTTACTTCTAACATGGTTTCATTTAATTAATTGTTAGAGGCCCAAATAGATAAATGTATACTATATATATAATATAATATAAAAATCAAAGATTAGAGAAAAGTTCATTTTCACCCATATAATCTCAACCTCTGCAAAAATGCACAATAAAGTCCATTGATGATAAAATCCTGATTATTCACAAACATGACACCTAACAAAACTCCAGCATTCTTATCACCAAGCACCAACCAGAAAGTTCCTGAACCTTCTGAAAGTGCTGCCCGCTGAGCAGGGAGTGAAGTTATCTCCCTGGTTCCATCGGTGGAAACACAGTTAGGGAAACTGAGTTCTCACCTCTGTAGCTCCCTTTTTCATTTGTTACACCATTTGTGGCACCTTTCATGTGAAAAACAGTGTAACACTATGAATGTCTCCCAGTCAAGACTGCCTAAAACTATATTCCCTCTGATTTTAATGACTTTTCACCATAGCTTTTATACAAATGACCTCTGACGACCAAACACCAGTCCTTGTTTTCTTTCGCATAATGTAATGATCCCATTTTTTCTGCCACAGTTGTACTGTATTTAACATTAAGGTTCTTATAAAATACAACACTGGCTAAATTTTGACACAGATATTGATTTAAAAGCATCAGCGTACTGTATATTAATCCTCTTCACCATGTTGGATTCTCCCCAGTGAGAATTCAGCATCAGTCTCTGCATTATGACCATGTAAAGCAGCAGTTAGACCAAATAAATAGCTGAAATAAATCTACATGCTTTCAACCAGCACTGAGGCGTATTCATGTAATGACTAGAAATGGAGCAGGGAGGTTTGACCTTGATGGCACAAACTGAAATCCAAGCCTATGTAATCAGACTTGTGGTGTTCCTATTAAGGCAACAGGTGAGGGAAACGTGTTGCAGTAGTTTTGTGTGTAGGGTGACATCAGCACTTTGTGTTTGTAGCGTATTGTAGAGGGATATCAGCTATCCTGGGCTCGCTCAAGGTAAATCTATAATGCTGTCTGTCCTGGGCCGGTTCTTGGCACCAGGGCACAAAAATATCCTCTCTCTCCTTGGATCACATCACCTCAATTACCTTTCTTGTCTTTTCCTCGCCTCACTTCACTTCACCTCATCCCACTTCTCTGTCTTCAGCTATCTCTATACCCAGCTTGGCTTCTTCATTCTCTCTTAACAATGTAGATTTAACCGATACTACACTACACCACATGTCAGTGTCAGTGCTAGTGTCTTTGTTTTTATTTTTTCTGCACCCTCCTTCTGTTACTTAAAGAAACATTTCAACAATTTGTAATTATACTGTATATATTTGCTTATTTCTGAGAGTTGGATGAGGAGAATGAGATCAATCTACAGATTCAAAGTCAGGATGTGTTAGCATAGCCTAACATAAGCTGTTTTCACACATGAACTCCAGACAGTATCAGGCCTGGACCAAGGTCAGAGCTTTCTTTATTCTTGTGGTTTCTCGCTGGACACATGATAGAACATCATTAACATGCCCACTAGCTCGCTGCAAATACTCTGGACTGTATGCTGATGTTTTCTTACATGGGCTTAATCCGGCTCACTTGGACTTTACGTGGACTTTGTACTAGGGAGCTGGCAGAGTAAAGTCTGCTTAAGGTCTGGGTCGACTGACTCAGACATTTCCGTTCTCACATCCCCCGGGTAGATAATTTCAGGTTTTTGGTGCATGTCTGAAAAAGGCTTTAAAGACTGAAGGCAGGTGGAATCAGCTAGCCTGGCTCTGTCCATAGATAAGTGCTTCACCTAAAAGCATTTCTTGAAAAACGACAGTTAGGCCTCCTGGTAAAGCAAGGCGAGAGTCACATCATGAGATACGGCATCATTTATAGCCTGCTTCAGAGTTTTTGGTCAGCATGTTAGAATTAGTATAGATGTTTCCTCTGCCTCTGTTGCTATGCTAACAATATCCTGACTATGTTCCTTTTTAAATCAAGAAATACCAAATACTTTTTAAAAAAACATCTGCCCACACATCTGAAGCTTGAACTTTATTACGTTTAGTTTAATGCAGAAAAGGTCATTGGTGTGAACCTGCCCTCCATGGAGGACCTGTACCCCTCACGGGTCAAAAGGAGGGCGGAGAGGATCACTGCAGACCCCTCACACCTGGGACACAAACAGTTTGAACTCCTCCTCTCTGGACTGTGTTACAGGTCACTGTACGCCAAGACAACCAGACACAAGGACAGTTTCTTCGCCCGGACCATCACTCTGATGAACACTTAACCAACGACAGTATGACTGGACAATAACCCTCATTTATTTTATACAGATCCGTACAGGTCTCTATTTTAAACTACTTTATTTTTATTCCTATTTATTGCGTTCACAATGAGCATTCCTTTGTCTGTCTGCATTGTTTACTGCCTGTTTACACTGCTTAGTTTGTTGCTTGTTAATACTTCTTATTTAGTTATACTAGCCTTATGTTGGTTTACTGTTTACTTGCCCCTTGCATGAGGATATGTACATACAGTACATATTGAGAGCTGATGTACCAGAGTCAAATTCCTCGTATGTCTGACACACCTGGCCAATAAAGCTGATTCTGATTCTGATTAGGACACAAACAGAAATGAAAGAGACATGGGGGGTGAGAAGTTCTGTATTTCTTAATGCTTAATGCTTTCACTTGATAGGTTCTTCTGTCTGCATCTCTTGCTCTGCCAGACATGCACATTCCTACTGCTTTACATGTTTTATGGTACTGTATGCACTACTGATTTCACTTGCACCTTTTATAAAATTGATTCAGTAATGCATCCTGGGTGCTGTGTTCTGTGTGATGTGTATGGTCCTTATGGGAAGCTGAAAAACAACAGACATGCATAACGAGCACCAGTGCCTACTCTCAGGAGCTGCCATTAAATCTATTACTGTAGATGCATGCTCCATTGATCCTCGAGCCCATGCTATGCCTTTAAGCTGCACAGCATGAACAAATAATGTCTTCTGTAGAACTGCAGTCGTGCTTTTTGATTGGCTGGCTGGTGAGCTGACTGACTGACTGACTGACTGAGCAGGCTGTATGATACATACATTCATTAAGAGGCTTTCTGTCTGATTGTGTGGGTGACTGACTGGTTTAACTTGGCTGATTGAGTAACTGCTCTGCTAGGTTTTTATCCAGGCTGTTAATCTGTCCCCCTAGCTGGCTTAACACAGTTGAAACTAAATACATGCTTGGGAACTGTAACATGAATATTGACATTTGTGGAAAAAAGCCATGTGTGTGGCTGACCTTCCAAGGCAGTGGAAGAGATTGCTTTCAGCATGGATTGAAATTGGCAACAGGACAAAACCAGTGTGTGTAACCAAATGGGCTTCCAGGAAGTGTAATGAAAACACTACTCTGAGTCGGAGCTGTTGGCATCATTTCTCGCCTCCCACTTGTTTCCTTTATTGTTTTGGACCTCATGCTTTTAGTGATGTGTGACTCCAGACTGTGTCGGCTCCAACTGACCTCTGCTCTGTCCTCTTTTAAAATAGCACTCACACACATGCGCACACACACACAGACAAAGGGCAGGATCCATTTACAGTGGCTTTTACAATGGTTTCCTTAACATGGAAATAATATTGGTCTGTGTTATGTTATGCACTCACTGATTATTTTATTTTTGTTCTTTAAAAAAAGCTGAGCATTTCTAAGCTTCATACAAGTAGAATTTCTAGCAGAGCTGCTGTACTGGATTGTTTTAGATTGTACTAGTGTACTTAATACAGTGGCCACTGATAAATCAAAGGGGAAAGGGGATTTTGGAGAATTGTTTGGCAGTA